GCAAGTCTGCAAATAGACATAGTGTAAATAGAGGATATCAAGAATCCTATGATTTATTAGTAATATATTTTTATCATGCAATATTATCAATATCCATATTTGGAAAAAGATATCATGAATAAATCATAGAATGACCTTTTTATTACTTCACATCTTATGGTTTGATTTAGTGAAACATTTTCTACTGAATGCAAATACTGTTTTTATTTCAAACAAAATATAGATAAGCGCTCAATCATCTGCAGGAAATGTACATTTTATATTTGTATAATCTAAATCAAGAGAGGAGTACTGGATTGACTGTCTTTGCATACCTGAATGCAACTTTAGGCAAAAGAATTGTCTGGTATCATGGTGTCATGATTTTCCTCATACATGTATTTGGAGGAAATATGCTTATTGGTGAATAATTTAACACAAAATTTCACCACTTTTTCATTTTCAAATATTATTGTTTGAAATTTTGCTAGAATACTCACAACATATATCTATTTCACAAATATTCTGTGTTTTTATCACCCTGACCCCCAGGGGCTGTATATTGGGGTTGGGAACAGGAATCATTAATTTATAGTATAGCTTTATTATACTCAAATGGAAGGCAATTTAGAGGAGATTTCAAATATGGTATCGTTTTTCTGATTTGGCCTCTGGCAAAATTCAAAATGGCCACCCTAATTTGGGAATTTGCAATAATTTTCTGATCTCTCCAAGGTATAGCACCATTATACTAAAGCACTATTATCAAATTAAAGGAATTTTAGAGTAGATTACATTTATGGTATTGTTTTACAGATTTGTGCCTTAGAAAATTCGAAATGGCTGCCGAGAGCAGGAATTTTATATTACTTATTATTCCATAGTAAGCATGATATTCATAGATAACATGTCAAAATAAAAACGGTATTTTTGTAATCAGTGGTAAAATATGATATTTTTGACAAATTTTTACTCAACCATAGCATACGGTGTTTAAGCCATGATGTATGCTATGAATTATGGATTTTTGCTACTTCAGACTCAAAACGAGGCAAATTCGTTACGCTCGCTCGTGCAGATATCATTCACCATTACTGGATAAAAATCATATCACTCATTAATCATAGGATATCCTCTATTAATATCTACATATTTAATCAAGGGAAGAGTAAATGGTACATTGTGACATATACAGATTCATGAATGAAGTGTTCATTTGGATTTGCTACTCCGTGGAGTTGCTGGTTTTAGTTCAATTGCACTTGAGTTCTTCTGAGAAAATTAATTTCATCAAGGGTGCATTAACTTTACATGGTGACATACCTGATGGTATCCCTACGCTAAGTCAATGGTTAATGATGTATGTCCCATGTTGAGTCAATGCACCCTTGCTTAAATCCTCATTTTCTCAGAACTCATAAGTTGATTGTGTCTCAACTAGCAGATTCACGTGGATAGTATTGCTATTTTCAAAAGTAAGAAAAGGGGTTCTTCAACAGGACATTAAGTTTGGGTTTCTATTGTCACTCATATTCTATGTGATCCATAGTATTGTGATAGCAGTTGTATTACACTCATAATCGCATGTTGTGATATCAATCTAAAAAGGATCTAGGATTGTTTCAATTTTAGAATATTTCTGGCTCATGTCATTCCTTTTCATGTCTTTTTTCTTTAAATACCCAAAATGCACACTTTATTTCAGCAAAACTAAAGATTTTTACAATAATGTTTTATTTTTTTTATGTTTTATGATTCTAATATGGAAATAAAATAACCTTAAAATTTTTTTTATTTCTCTATAAGGATGGTTACCATCCTTATTATTTGGGAGAATTTAAACATTTTTTACTCATTTTTTCACTTTGAATCCATTATAACTTCACCAATTTATACCATATCGTGAACCTTTTGGGAGATATTGTATTTGAGATTGTGAGGAATATATTGGTAGGTCAATTGTACACATTGCTTGTAATTTTGTCACCCCCATAGATCTGCCTTTAACTAATATCACCACTCATTTGCTTAATTCATATGTCATTTTTAGCGTCTTTATTAGATATTTTCAATTCAATTCAAGGGGTACTGAGTCTAGTTTTTTCAAATACACGAGTTCTTGTGAATTTGTTCCATCGTAAAGACATATAACTCCCCCCCTCCATCCACTCCCCCTCCATCCAATATTAATTTATTTCGATTTTTTTTGTATAATGCATGGAAACTAACTTTAAAAATAATGAAGGACCCACGGTCCTATGCTCACACAGTTTGGAACCTTCAGAGGAATTTATATCCTGACTTTCAAACAAAAATATTGATTTGGATTTGTAGTCTCGAACTTTGAGAAACTTAGATAGCATAGTTGTGTGACCTAGTTTGATGACCTTTGACCTTGAAAATTTTACTTATTCAGAGCTCAGTAAGGTCTTTTGTGATTAAGCTGACCAAAATTTACATCCAAAAATCAATTTGAAAAATCAACTTTTTTGACCTTTCGAAGGTCACTGAAGGTCAAGTAAAGGTCAAATCCTAAAACTAATGTCAGATTTGAACTCCTGACAACTTGTAGATGATTTTAAAAAAAAAATTTGGTCAAATTGAAGCAAGTTGAAAAATAACTTATTTTTACTGTTTTTTGACGTCAAATATCTCAAAAACTAAAAAATTTGATGCTGACATATATTGAGAAATATGTAGGTAATGCTTAAATCTATTAATGATGTAATATATTGCAGGAAATGATCAAGTATAAGGCAAACTTTAAGAATCTTGTCAATCACAAAACCTGTCATTGACTTTATACATGAGAAAGTTTCCAGAAAATGACAAGTCCTACTTTTTTTCAAATTTTATAGAGTAAACACCAAAAACCGTAATTCCAAGAGCTTTGAAATCTTCAGAGGACATAAGTTGCATATATACCAACTTCTAAAAGTTATTTGAAAGTTCTACTTCAACAAAGTGTCTAGTATTTACAGAAAATTTGACTTTTTGACGTCAAAATCCGCAATTTCTCGGAAATCGGGCGAACTTGGGAAATGGCGATGATAGGTCAAATAGGCATTATGGATATGCATAAAATGAATGTGGATATGACTCAATCCGAATAGCAGTTTTAATTTGTGCGGCCAATGTTGACGGACGGATGGACCAATGGACGGACAGACCAACGGACGGACGGACCAACGGACGGACGGACGGACGCCTGGTCAATCCCATAGGCTCACTGTGTGAGCCAAAAAGTGAGCAATGTCTATGTCCCTTATACCTATTTATTACAGATCGTGTAGAACATTGTTGCCTGATTTATGGCAAAAACATTGACTTTTGCACGTTGGTGATAATGCGTCTTTTTAATAGATCTCATATCTTAGAAGCGTATCAGTTCAAAAAAAAAATACTAGAAGACCTAACATATTTTGCCATGCACTGCGCCTATTCATTTGGCAATTCAGTTGTAATTTTCTCTTGAAAAATTCTCTTCCAAATTTGTTGAGTTTTCTTGCAGAAATCGCCTACTCCCCCTCCATCCATTTTGTACGATCACCAGGCGTGTATTCATAGGAATTAATATTTCAAAAGTTTCTTTATCTCAAACTACAGTAAAACCTTTCCGATTGAACACCTTCCTTTATAGAACACCTTTCGACATGGAACAATTTTCAAAAAAACAAATATTTTTCCATTGACTCTATGATGCCATTTGAATTAAGTAAATAATTTTAACTATCATTATTAGCCTCATTACAGACTTGAGGTTGACGTATTTTGAAGGACATAATAAGTATTTAAAAGACTTATGTAATGCAAGTACATTTCTGTATTCATACTTTTACATTCATATCTACTCTACACATGAAAGATGCTTTGATTTATTTTAATAAATACAGTAAAACCTGTGTAGGTGGAAAACTGTTGGTACCTCTAAAAAGTGTTCCACTTACTGAGGTGCTCCACTTTACAGTTTTTAAATAAAATTGACATTGACATGTAAAGGTTAGTCACCGAGGTCTTAATGGCAATTGACATGTTAGGCAGACCTTCGTTGCAATATCTTCATTAGTTCAATGAGAACCATGAAGTTCTAGGTTTACATTGATTACATGTTTTACAGGTTTACAGTGATTACTTGTATCCTATTTACAAAATATGACTAGATATACTGAAGGTAGTATGGTGTTTGATTTGAGCAACTATTTGTTCAAGTTATTATAAATTGTCTTTGATTTTAGTGACTACAATAACAGTCATACAGTCAGTGCAATACTCTAGTTAACAGTTACTGTGAGTCAGTGGAATAACAGTCAATGCAATGTTTGTATTTATCGGATTGATGTTGTCTCTTTAATATATTTATTGTACAATATGTTTTTGGATTATAGTCTTCCAGAATTGATGAAAGTTAAGATTTTAAATGTGTGTCCTTAATATTTCCAGGAGGTCTTTATACCAAGGGTCCCGCGAGCGCTCGAGTGCTTGATCACTCGAGTAATTCACCTCCGATACGAGCTGTATCGATACATAAAATGAATATCTGTCATATCGTTTCTTGACCAGAAGTCCCTTCTTACTTACCCAATGGAAGTGAAAAACTCAGAGCGTAGAGATGGCAACAGTCATAGTTACGTATCTTGCTTGCCACCTTGACGTTTGCCCCGCTAGTTCCGGAATACCACACGTCGTTAAGGCCAGGGTGCATGTTGGAATTTTTTTGCAATTTTGAAAAGTAAACCAGTGAATATTCTAGTTATTCAAACATTCTGAAGAATTAACAACCCTTAATTAATAGTCTAGGTACACTAATACATATTTTCTGCAAGAATGAAAGATGTAGATGATATGTGGAATGAGTTATGTTTATCTGAAAATAGCACATGGTCATGAAATTTCATCAAATTGCACCCTGACCTTAAGATGTTTTAATCAATGTTAGCATATTTTACACCTTTCTTTGACGTGATGTGAAATAAATGTAATCCGGCTGAAGTACTTCCGGCTTTACAAGTTTGAAAAATTAGAATAAAGTTCAGTTTTACTTCAATTTACGCTGTATCATTGTATCGTATCTTGAGGTCAGTATTGTAGATACGTATCGATTTTAATTTTTCGTATCGTGGTACCCGTACTTTATACAGTACTCTCTGCCTGTTTTCCCACATCCCACCATTCTAAGTCACCATCAATATGTTCATCATCATCATTATCCTCACTCTGGTGTTCAACAACCTTTTCTCCATCATTCAGACTATGAAATGTCACATAATTTATATTAGTTGTGTGACTTTTTTTATGATCCCATTGATCAGGATTGAATGCATTGATTCTAATGTTATTATCCATTGGATGTAGATTATGACTGGGGTGTCTGACACTAGAGTATGATACTGTCACATCTTTTGTGTTTTCCCCAAGATTGGTATTATAGTTGTATTTGGGTTCCCAAGGCTTGTTTGGACAGGTATGGTGGATGGCAGGTATTGTATCTGCTGAGCCCTCTGTTCCCCCACTTTGGCTGAAATAAATTGAAAAACAATTGAACCCAAACGAATAAATCATGTAAATATTGACCTGTATTATTGTTGTTGTTTTTATTGGCTCACACAGTGAGCCTATGGGATCGACCAGGCATCCGTCCATCCGTTGCCCCGTCCGTCCGTCCGTTGGTCCATCCGTCCGTTGGTCCGTCCGTCAACATTGGCCGCACAAATTAAAACTGCTATTCGGATTGAGTCATATCCACATTCATTTTATGTATATCCATAATGCCTATTTGACCTATCATCGCCATTTCCCAAGTTCGCCCGGTTTTCGAGAAATTGGGGATTTTGACGTCAAAATGTCAAATTTTCTGTAAATACTAGACACTTTGTTGAAGTAGAACTTTCAAATAACTTTTAGTAGTTGCTGTATATGCAACTTATGTCCTCTGAAGATTTCAAAGCTCTTGGAATTACAGTTTTTGGTGTTTACTCTATAAAATTTGACAAAAACTAGGACTTCGTCATTTTCAGGAAACTTTCTCATGTATAAAGTCAATAGCAGGTTTTGTGATTGACAAGTTTCTCAAAGTTTGCCTTATACTCGATCATTTCTTGCAATGAATTACATCATTACTAGATTTAAGCATTCTCTACATATTGCTCAACATATGTCAGCATCAAATTTTTACTGTTTTTGAGATAGTTGATGTCAAAAAACAGTAAAAATAAGTTATTTTTCAACTTGCTTCAAGTTGCCAGGAGTTCAAATCTGACATTAGTTTTAGGATTTGACCTTTACTTAAGTTGATTTTTCAAATTGATTTTTGGATGTTAATTTTGGTCAGCTTTAAAGACCTTACTGAGCTCTGAATTTGTAAAATTTTGAAATGAAAAATACGAAATATAGACTGAGTTCAGCTAAATATAATGAAAGCTTTTAAAAGAATGGGACCTCAAAAGCCATCTAGCTTCAAAATTTGGACACCAAAATGCCTAGGTCAAAATCTAGGTCAAATTCAAAGTTTTTCCTTATTTTTGCTATTCTGACACTACAGATTAATTATATTCTTCGAAATTTTGTATGCATGTAGCCAAGAGTGTGCTTATAGTGTTAGCTTTTTGCCGTCAGAAAGTATTTTGCCCCACTTTTGAGATATGGTGTCCGAAAAGTAGGTCAAAATAAAAAATTCTCCAAATTTAACGTGTGAGTTATGAACTAAGTATAGAATTTTCTCAGGAATCCGAATCTGCAAACCAAATTTCGATCCGACTTCCAGTTCGGAAGTTATGACATTTTGAAAGCTCAAAAATCGCTAAATTTGGTGCCCCATGTTATGTCAATGGGAAAAAAGATTTTTTTGAAGTGTAAAATACGAGATATAGACTAAGCACAGCTTAAAATAATGAAAGCCTATGAAAGAAGGGAACCTCGAAGGCTACCTAACTTCAAAATTTGGACACCAAAATACCTAGGTCAAAATCTAGGTCAAATTCATAGTTTATCCTTATTATTGCGATTCTGACACTACACTTTAATTATATTCCTCGAAATTGTGTATACATGTAGCCAAGAGTGTGGTTATAGCGTTAGCCTTTTGCCGTCAGAAAGTATTTTGACCCACTTTTGAGATACGGTGTCCGAAAAGTAGGTCAAAATAAAAAGTTCTCCAAATTTAACGTTTGAGTTATGAATTAAGAATAGAATTTTCTCAGAAATCCGAATCTGCAAACCAAATTTCGATTCGACTTCCGGTTCCGAAGTTATGGAGTGTCCGAAAAGTAGGTCAAAATAAAAATTCGCCAAATTTAACGTATGAGTTATGAATTAGGAGTAGAATTTTGTCAGGAATCCGAATCTGCAAATTAAATTTCGATCCGACTTCCGGTTCGGAAGTTATGGCGTTTTGAAATTTCAAGAAAAATCGATCTGATGGTATCCTGATAAAAAGTCAAGAGTAGAGAAGAAAATATTGAAAAATGCATCCATCCTTCCTTTCTGATCCTATCCTATCCTTCCTATCTACCCTTGCTTCGTATCCTCTCCTTCCTATCCTTCCTATTCTATCCCTTCTTCCTATTCTATTCTATCCTTCTTTCCTATTCTATCCTATTATTCCTTCCTATTCTATCCTATCCTTCGTTCTTTTTTCATCCATCCATCCATCTTTTGCTGGATGACTTAGCTTATTTTGGATGACTTGGCTTATTCTGGATGACTCGGCTAAAAAAAGTCTAGATCTGGAGTCTGAAATTGAACTCGTTCAATTTCCAAAATCTAGTTTTATATACTATTGTAATTAGAAAACTTTGAACACTGACTTGTATTTTTCTTGGAATAAAACTGTCAAAACATAAAATTGTGATCCTCAAAAGAATAAATCAACTTTTTAAGATTTTTAAAATTGTGTCAATGGGAAATTAGCCTGAAATCATTGGAAATTAAACACAAGAAAATAACCTTTAAAATCAAATTCAAATATGGCATCAAACAGAACAAAATTTTCATTCTAATGTTAGGATTTTGCAAATCTTCTAAAATCTATTTAAAATGAGACCTCTATGAGATTTCAAAGCTATATAGTAAAGCCTCTATAATCTCCCGTAACTGACAAAGTCTCTTTGATATTGATTATAGCCTGTCAGCAAGAGCATGTAACCTTCAGTACTTCAAATACTTGAGGTCTCGTTTCTTTTCAAAACAGCCAATAGATATCATCATAAATGCACACAAACAACTAACTCTGACATGAGAACCATGGTTGACATTGATTTACCTTGAATCCCTGTAGTAATCAACATTTCCTTTGAGGTCAAAGTCAATATAGTTTGAATTGTTTTGTAGAAGAATGTCTATCTTTTCCTTAAGCGCTGTGAATGAAGGTCTTCTTTCTGGGTTAGGATGCCAGCATATTAACATTATATCATATCTGCAATTAAAGTAAAGATTATTTTAATGAAACAATAGTTAGAAAACCCAGCAGGTTGAGCTGATTTATTACGAAGCATTTTGACAATATAACTTTGTTATCAAGTGTTACAGAGGCACAAAATCCGTCTTTATGAATCTTTTTGACAAAATGCCTTGTGAAATTGTGAAATAATTCTATGTGTAAATGCTCTTTATGTTCTTGCATGGTAAGAGTGGTTGAGCTGATCAACTTGGACTATTCTGATGTTTTGAAATGTCAGTACAAGGAATCAGCAAATTTAAAGAGAAAGAAGAACAAAAGATGAATTTAAAGTAACTTTCTTACTTATTTACTCACATTTCATGTCATGCCTCTTTTCTAAGTTTAGATATTAGTCTTTTTTTTTAATTTTAAGTATATTTGGAAATAATGTTTTTTTAAATATAGAAATTACATTTTTAACTATTTGAATAGGGAAGGTATTATATCTTGCATTTTCTGTAACATCGTTTTTTCTATCAGATATATCAAATCTGTTGTCAGGTAAAGGAGATAATTAAATAAAGTTGACATGTTTATGACATCTATAGAGAGAGATTTCTTCTAACATAGTCATTTTCTGCAGCCGCTGGAATCATATAATGACTATCCATCATGCCTATCATGTCTGCATGTCTACCTTTCAATATATCTTTCTGATGACAAACAGATATTAAGCCAGATAAAGTAGGCTTCTTTTTCTCAGTCAGATAAGTGTCACTTCATGATATGGGCAAACAATTCCCTGACAGTGATATCTTGGACATTGAGTGTTTTCTGACCATATTTACATTCATCAATTTATATCCAAGAGATGTAGACAACTATGTTTAAATTAAAAGGATTATGTGTTAATGAAGGAAATGTTTTTTTCTCTAGAATGTTGATTAGCTGTTGGATCTATGTCAATCTTTGTTTAAGATATTGCTCCTGTACAATCATGTTTGCTGAAGAATATAGTTGCAATAGCATGATTAGCCATGGCAGGTTGCAAAATGTTCCACTAACTATTCTCAGTCAGAGCTTCATTTAGGTCATACTCAGTGTTTGTTTTTTTTGCTATCTCAGTGTTTTAATCTTTTGGTGATTTCTTCTCTTGGAATGTTATTTGAATTTGATATTTGATAGATGAAACCATTTGGAACACGTAGAGTGGGTTGAAATATTTCCGGCCATGGGTATATAGATATCGATGGTATTATGAAAAAAGAAGCACTGAAAAAGATACCTACATATACGTATACAATTAGGTGTATAGCTTCAGGAAGTAAAATTGTGGGAGCTAATTTGTAGCACTCATTTAAACTATAGTTCAATTAGAAAGATGTATGGAGACAGTATTGATAGTCTTAGAGAATGCTAGACTAACTGGCAGGTAATGTGGACATACGAGGTAATTACATAGAATATGGAAAAAGTAAGGTAAATACACATAAAAGGCTTGACATTTATCATTAGCAAAGCTAGAAGCAAACTAAATGAAACTAATTTTTTCTTATATGTAATCAAGAAATTTAAACCTCTCAATTAGGTGTCTTGAGATTGCATGATTAACTTGATCAACTTGATCATGCATAGGTATATCATATGTGATAGATTTGCTCCTGTTCTCTTTTAGGCAAGATCAAATAGCTGTTTTTAATTAGACAGGTTGTCTTCATTACAGTATGTAATACATTATAGCAGGTTTGCCTGAGAAATCTTGTGTGTTTAATTTTGCACATTGCTTGGAACCATGAGGATTGGTATTTTCCTATTTTTTGGAAATAGACTTAAATCAGTGTTATTTAAAATCAACCTGTAAACTAAACAATGACATTTAGTGTTCAGTGTCACAGTAGTGAGTGTATAATAAACATGTGAGGTGTTTCATATCCTCTATGAAGATTGTGCAGAAAAACGATTGATTTTGATTTTGTTATAACACTTATTTCAATTATTTCGTTGTGGCTGCAGGGGTTTCATTAGCAGCAGGCAACATGCGATTTTCACGTTGTTTCACAAAATTGCCTGTTGTTTTTAGGGACTTTTCAACTTTTTCATGTTCAATTTATGATTTCCATTAATTTTGCCTGTTGTTTTCACTTATTTAGCCTGTTGTGAGAAATTCGTAATACAATGTATAGAAATAACCTTTTCAAAATTCATTTTAAGTAAAAAACTCATTTAAAAGCATTGAAGCAAACATTTTCAAATGTTCCCCCTTATTTAAAAAAATCTCAATGTCAAAATTTCCCCACTTAGCACTATTTAGTCAGTATTGTAACTTGCAGATTTCCATATTGTTATTATATCCTCATACCTGACATTTAAAAAGCATCATTCTTTTGAACTTCGTTTTACTCAAGTATTAGTTGTAGGCTTAAAAGATATCTCACATTTCATTAGTACAGTTGTCTGGCCTTTCCATCCTATAACCTGCCTTGAGGAAATTGAAGAGATCTATCCCAGAGAGTCCAGGGTATGGTGATCCCCCTAGTGTAACAAGTTCCCACAAAACTATTCCAAAGCTCCATCTAGAACAAGAGAGCACAGTTTTGTAAAGAATATAACAAGAGGTAGTCTTGCTTAAAAGACCCTGTACTCGCCCCCCCCCACCTTTATCCTTTTCTCTATATTGCCAGGTAAAGAGAGTGAAGGTGAGGGGGGTGGAGTACAGCCTTTGAGCAAGGATTTCATTGATCAAGTGCTAAAGCTACAAAGTGATAATTTTTTGTACTATTTCTGCAAAGTGCTTGCATTAATTTTCCAAATGTATATGAGAAAGTGATTTCATGGATAAAACATTCAAGGTACAAATTGATAAAGTTCTCTACTTACACATCACTTTTGATTGTATACACATTATTGAATATAGACTCAAGGGCCATCCATTTGTATGGTACTTTTCCTGGAGTGGTTTTCTTATATATACTGTTTTCATATACATCTCTTGTGAGACCAAAGTCTGATATTTTTACAATGTTCTCATCATAAACCAACACATTTCTGGCCGCAAGGTCTCGATGTACAAACTTCTTCTTGGCCAAGAACTCCATTCCCATTGTAATCTGTCTGGCATATGACAATAGTTTTGTAGTAGATATCTTAGCTGCTGACGAGGCTGGAAGGCAACATAACAACATTCATGTCAAGAGTAACATGCGTGGTAGATAACCTTCAATTTTAGGTTGGATATCAAATGGCTCTTGGCATGGGATATCATCCTTTTTCCAAGCTTTGTGTTCGCAACCATGTACAAATACATGCCAAATGGTTCCTGCCATGAATTCAGTTTGAAATGTTTTCATGAAATATCAACAAAAGGATGAAAAGTTTGCTGACATATGTAATAAATGTGCAGTAAAGGAGCCAACAACACTATCTGAAAAAGTATGTTTACAATATACATTGATTTCATTATTCATGAATTCATTATTCATGAATAAATATTGTTTCATTCAAAATTATTAATGGTGAATCATTTATCATTATTTTTTATAATTATTAATAATATTTTAATAATCTTTTTGCGAAAACTGCTCAAGTGTGAGTATAAAGCAGTGCCAGTTGAAATAGCTATATTACCTGTGCCATCCCCTGTTGATGCAGTGAGAGTTGAAATAGCTATTATTACCTGTGCCATCCCCTGTTGATGCAGTGAGAGTAGAAATAGCTATTATTACCTGTCCCATCCCCTGTTAATGCAGTGAGAATAGAAATAGCTATTATTACCTGTGCCATCCCCTGTTGATGCAGTGAGAGTAGAAATACCGATTATTACCTGTGCCATCCCCTGTTGATGCAGTGAGAGTAGAAATAGCTATTATTACCTGTGCCATCCCCTGTTGATGCAGTGAGAGTAGAAATAGCTATTATTACCTGTGCCATCCCCTGTTGATGCAGTGAGAGTAGAAATAGCTATCATTACCTGTGCCATCCCCTGTTGATGCAGTGAGAGTAGAAATAGCTGTTTGGTCACTGTCTGTACTCTCTTTACTGTCAGCCTTTGAATTCCATGCACAGGGGTTATTAACAATATTCATCAGAGGTACCCACTGAAAATATTTAGAGACCATAGTCTATTTGATCACAGGTAAGTACAGTAAAACATGTCTCATCTGAACACCACATCTGAATTGGCCAATTTGGAGTTGCAGGTGTTCACAATTTGAGTTTTTTAACATGGGAATCTATTTCACAATAACAATTAAAAAATAGAAGAAAAAAGTGTTCACATTGAGAGGTGTTCGGATCAGATCAGAGTGGTGTTCAGAGGTTCAACTGTACAGTATACATAGATCATACATTATCTTTTTAATGTGACCTAATTTAGTTTAAATTACTAGCTTAAATGTGCTGACTAAGGATGTATTTAGTATTGTGTCTCAGTATATTTTCTGTATTTTTGAATAAATATACTTTAGAAGCAAGAAGACAAACAATATTTGGTAGGTCATATCAATTAAAACATTATATTTTCAAAAATTCTTATTAGGAGGGCAGAATGGGAGGTCCAAAAAAAGTTTAATGTACAGTTGGAACATATTCTCGATTTTGGTAACGTTGGAAAGCTTATACTGTCTAATTTTAAGATCTGCTTGTTAGCAATAATGAAAAGTGGGCAGAATGTGTCTAAAACGCCAGTTTCCATAGTAACGACAAAAAGATGGTGTTAATAAGCAGAAAAAGTTTTTTTATGCATAACTTTACTAATATTACTCCGATTTTGATTATGAGCAATTGACTGTGACTGAGATGACTGTTTCTCTGAATGTTATTCCCAGTTCTCAATACAATATTATAATAAGTTTAATATATTGACTATTTTTTATAAATAATTGTTATGTTTAGCATGAGACTGAATTAATTATTAATTATGACATGTAAATGAGGCAGATCAATCTCATTTGTCAATAATATATATTTGAAATATTTGTGACTGATGTATTCATAATTTGTTTTACTCTTTGTTAAGTTGAGATCATGCTTGACCTGCATAATTGCATGTACTGTACGAGGGTTGTTCAATAAATTCTGATACAATTAAATGGTCTCATTTTCCCGAACTCCCATGGCAGTGTCTGGGAATAGAACACTGCAGCAGACAAATGAAAAATACCCCAAATCTGGAGAAATTGTACATTTTGTTCCACGATTGACATGTTCAAATCTCAATTAAATTGATATCTTTATTTTGTCAAAATATTTCAAACATCATTGATATATTAGAAGAAATCTCCGCGGAAGGAATTTTGAGTTTTATCAATAATAGTTCACCGCACATAAATTTCATACGTTAAATAGATTTAGACTAAAATACTTTATTTTTAGCAACTTGTAAGGAAAAATGCTCATCCATATATGTTTAATTTGTTGTAACTTCAAAAGTATGCAAAGGAAATTCATAATATTTGCTCACTACAAAGACAAAAATATTGCCTTTAATAGTATAGTATAGCTGAATAAAGCTGACATGAAGTGTCACCATTGTCTCTGTTTTGCTTGGGTCAGACTGCAATAGCCATCCATGTTATAAACTTGAAATAGTCACTTAATTTAATGATTTTTGAAAAAGTGTTCATCAAATCTGTCTGAAACTCAAATGGCATACAATGGGATGACCCTGTCAATGTACCTATTGTGATTAATCATGAAATTCAAACAAATAAACCAAGGTTTTAAAGAATTTTAGCATTTCATCCATGGAGATTCGGCCAAAGTTTTTTGTCATGGAAAATAATTTAAATGACATAACAGTATAAATCAAAGTTATTATTGTGTAAAACTTTTCACTTTATTCAAATATGCTATTTAAAAGAAAGAGAAGTTAGTTGTAAGAGGATAAAGGTGCAACAAACAAAGAATTGAGATAGCTGATCAAGTTTTTGAAGATAAGGAGGCATCAAAAGATTGATGTGTGTTTAGAAACCTAACAATTATGTTGTCTCCATATGAACATTAATGATATTTTGACCCCGCCCCTTAGACGAGCATTATTCATAAAGTGTTCAGATTTTTAGAGCAACGGTATAGAACATTGGAAAGTTCGAAAGGAAATGGGTATGACATTAAAATCTATAGCTAAGCCTAAAACTTCCTTTATTAGGTATAATATATTATTTATAGGGGATTGTTTTTCTCATCAATCACTCTTCATGTTTTGATATATTATATATTACAATTTTATGAGCTATCATTGCAAACTGAATAAACAGTTTCACACAATGACAGAATTATAGGAAGAATATTTCAAATGGCCATGAGCCACCATCCTAAAATCAATAATATGTCGGTGTAGTTTAATAACTATTTCAGAGTTATCAATTTCAAGAGAATTTCTGTTTAAGGTTAACAGGACCCACTTTTAAAGAATTTTCATCTGTAATTTAATAATGTATAATGTTCCACGTAGATAAGTGTTGCTTCTCTTTAGAATCAGCCAAGATGCTCTTACACTGGTAATTAAATTAGGCCACTAATTGGTTCTTGTCCCATATGGAACATTAACAACATTAGCATCTACTTCTTCCAGCGCTATGATGTTTTTCTCCCTGAGTAGAATGGTTTTGTCCATGAATCAATGTAAAATGTTTTGAGGCTTTTAACATACATGCGTGGTATTGGCTTTTTACAAGTATGAATGTGACTCCAATGTAATACATAACTGGATGTGACCCTAAGGGAAATAAAGACAATCAAGTATAAGACTGTCCCCTGAGTCTGTTGCACTTAGATGGTCCAAACACTTCAAACTGTCTAATTCTATATTAGGTAGGGGTGAACCATTTGATTTTGAGAGGGGGGGGGGCTTTACATTAAAGCAGAATCAAATTGTCTTCTTGTATCCATCTTAACACACTGACACAGAAATACATTTTCTACTGAAACTATTGAAATTTATATTCTTGGACAGAATATTTTTTCTGAAAACGTTAGAGTACACCAAGAATAAATGGAACTAAAGCACAAGAGTACCTCTAGTACTTCTACCACTAGAGCACTGCCTGAAATAGAAAGCAGTATCACCAGACGGTAGCTCTAAAAATGCCTGCATACATCTTTCAGATAAGGTTTAAAATAATGCTTATATGGCATTTTTGTTCAGAAATTGCATTTAAGATCAGTTGCTTTGAAACACAAACCAACTGTCCAGCAATTTGTGTATTTGTCACATATTTGCTGAAGAAATTGAAGTCATGCCAGTTTTTTTTGCATCACAGAATATGTCACGCAAATACACATTTTTTCAGATTATTGTCAAGCAAAAATATTTCAGAAGAACATCAAAAAAACAAAAGCTGAAAAATGCATGCCGAAAAAATAAACGCAGTTCTGAATTTTCACCCGAATTGTGTATATGTCACACATTTGCTTCAAAATTTCTTGTCTTTTGAGCCCAATTAGTGAGCATTACTGGGGCTTTTTGGGCCATATTTTTAATAGGCAATGCCCCCCCCCCCCGTTTTTAGTTTACAGATCCCTAGACAACTCTATGTAAATGATTATAGGCACCTGTTCCCGCAGTGTTTTCAGGTAGTCTCTCAAGTCCCCATATTTGCAGTAATCCAGGACAAGGCACACCTTTCTTCCTTTGGTGCAGCATGCTACAATGCTTACAATGTTTATATGGGGGCCCAACTGCTTCAGGAACTCTATCTCTTGTATTAAGGCAGAACGGTCTTCCTCAGAGCAGTTGGCTAAAATATGCAAATAAAACAACATATTATTTTTATTTTTAAGATAGCTATGGTATATGGTACCTCTAGATAGTGTTCCACTTCGGAGCAGTTCTACTTACGGTGGTTGGTCATTGGATCACTCTGTAACGGCTCGTCATTATGATACTCATAAGAACCCATAACTTTCGACCCATGTACTTGCCCATACGAGGCTCGTAACAAGGCACGTAATAGCTCGTTAGTTTTGATAAACTTGTTTGCAATAGCATGTTTGATAAGAAGTTAAATGTATACACCTGGTAAGTAAAACAAACAATAGATTCTTTTTCCACATAATGACTTGTAATTTGCGTGCCTCCTTCAAGATTGTACGGGGCTCGATATAATTTGACTGTGTAGTCTGTTATAATGAATGTTCACTTGCAAATAAGTGTGTAAAGCAATTTGAAAATCATGATTTAGGAGATTAAATTGACCTAAGAAAAAGAAGTCTGCAGCATTCTGTTTTATTCATTTTTCACTGGCAAATTGTGTAGGATTATTCATTTAATACACAAATCCACATGAGCTTGAATTATGATCTGTTTTTGCATTTATCATATTTTTGATTAAATCTACGTCTGTTACATATAAATTATTGAAGCCCCATCTTGAGTATTGTTGAAAACAAGGTAGCCTTCAAAATCAAATATTCAAAAAGTGATGGATAAAAAGAATGATAAAATAGTTATATTTTCATCATGTTACTTATTCTGAAATGCTCCTTTTGATGGTATTTTATCTTCTAAATTTATTCAATTCAGGCATAATTGGTGATACCAATTGGAAATATTTGTACATGTATACCCTCCCTGGTTAACTATTACCCTGCTTGAATTTCTAGTGAAATTTCTGTCAAGAAACAATAACAAGAAGGCATTATTACTATGAAAGGAATTCTGAGCATTAGAAATTACCAAATATTGCAGTTTGATTCCTACTCAAAAAGTTACTTCGATTTTATTGAAATAAAGGTGAGCTGAAAATGATGGTGAACCACTTTCAATCCTTAATCTAAACATGGCTTTTAAAAAGGTTCAACAGCGGCCTTTGAATGGACCTTTAATCATATTTTGAAAATAAAATCATCAGAGGTTTTAAAGTTGTACTAAAACCAATTTAAGAATCTCTTATTATCTTGTTTTTAGCACAAATATCATTCCTTAAAGCTTGTGATATTTCCCCACAGAACACGATTTATTAAGCAAAAGAAAAGAAAATATAAAAAGTGTATCTTTGTCAATTTATAAACTTAAAGAAACAGTAACTTATTATAATCTACAAAAAGTAAATTACAATAACATGTAAAATTTTATTCAGAGTTAATAGAGGGAAGAGGGTTTATTTGTATTAATGCCCTATTAGGGCCAAACCTACATCTAACAATAAAAAGAAATGACAGTAAAAATATTTAAAAGAAAAATAAAGAAAATAAGACTACATCCTTCAAAATACACATATACTATTACTTTGATATAAGGATCCTATCTCTTCCAATCATTAGGTTATGTATCATGTCAGCTGTTTCTTTTAAAATGATCCCCTCACTCATCAAGAGAAAAATTGTGTATAATGATCACTCATATTTTTTTAATTATATTGCACAGGTTTTCAAGTTTTTCAATGTAAGTTGAAATGAGTGGTGTTTGGATCAATCCAACACATTAGTGACTATACTGATGGATCTTCTTCTATCTCTTTTTTTTAGTAAATGGTTAGTACAAACATGGGCTTTCAATTAGAGTACCATAACTTTCACATTTAACATTATTTAGCGTCAAAGCAATAATCAGATCAAATTAATCAAGTCAAACAAAGACTAGTGATAAAACAAGATCGAGATGAATAAAAGGTAAAGAGTAAACTAAAGCATTCGCAAAATTGAACAATAAATTGCTATAAAACAATAAGCGACTAAATATATCATTGATAAGATTATAATCGAAGTAAGATTGAATTTAACAATATCAAATGATATTGTCCAGGAAGTAATGCACTACATGCTGTTACTATTTTTAATATTCTTCAATTCAGCTGAAATTTCATGTATATTTTGGGCAATTGAAGTGTTATCTGTTATTTCCTGAGGTTTCAGCATCATATTTTAATGTTAAGTCTTAAAATTGTTGGTATAGCAACACATGGATGGGGATGGGTCGGGCAGGTATATATTTTTTCAATCTCTATTTCGATGCGACAAAAAGAACTGCCCCACCCTACCCAAACTTACCAACTTGATTTTAGTATAACATCATCATAGTATTATCAACTTTGTAGAATAATCAAAATATCTTCAAATATCATTCTCTGAAAATTTCACAGAAAATGATAAAGCTAGAGCAAATAGTGCATTACTAATGGATTGGAAGAAGTTGATTTTGTAACAAAAGGCTGAAATGAGTATTAAAGAATTCAACATTTAAATTGTATATCTAGCTAATGTAATTAATTTATTAAGTTGAGATTTTCATGTGCCAGTTTTTGTCATAAGTTTTTGCCTTGTTTTATTACTGGGGTGTAAATCAGTAAATTTTGAATCAGTAAATTCAGCTAGTCTTCAGACTGGATCACTCAAAATGGTCTTAAGGATGAAACAATATAGCACCAAAATGGTGTGCAATAAAAACTGATCATTGAAGATGACCATGCTAAAGCTAATGCATTTCTCCATCAATTTTTACAGAAATTTCATCACAACATTGTTGATCAAACTTTACCAACTTGTCAAAGAAAAACTGATAACATGCTAAATGAAATTGATCTTTCACAGCAGTCCATAAATAAACATTTGAGGGAGCTTAAATCAAACAAAAAGGGGGGTGATGATAACATTACAAATAAAATGCTTAAACTGGTGGCAGATTCACTTGATGCAGAACTTCATAAACTTTTTAAACTCATTCTTACTAAAGGCAAATTTCCTAATTGTTGGAAGCAGGGCATTATTGTCCCCATTTTCAAAAATAAATCCTCAAAAGTTGACCCAGGGAACTATCGGCCAGTTTGCCTTTTAAGTAATATTTCCAAAATTTTTGAACGCGTCATATATGATTCAATATTCAAACGTGTGTCATCTAACAATCTTTTGTATCAGAACCAATCCGGGTTTTTACCTGGGCATGACACTCAGAAACAACTTGTATCTATTGTAAATATGATTACTTCAAATTTTGACCATAATATTTCTACTAGAGGGATCTTTCTTGATATTGAGGGTGCGTTTGACGGCGTCCCCCACTACTTACTTCTCCATAAGCTAAAATCATACGGTATCTGTGAGAACATTATTAATCTGATAGGGTCCTACCTTAATAACAGAAAATTAAAAGTTAGGGTGAATGGTACAACTTCAATAAATTCAGATACTCTATATGACAATATTGATGGGACAATGGAAGGGATTCTAGGGACAGGAGGAAGGGATTTAGGGGGGTTTGACAAAGGATTAATAAATTGTGGGGTTCCTCAAGGGTCAATATTAGGTCCCCTGTTTTTCTTACTTTATATCAATGACCTAGCCGATGCAGTTTTAAATAGCACTCTGTACCTTTATGCTGATGATAGCTCAATTTTTCTACCTGTCAAAAAGGAGGACTCAGTTCATGAAACTTATCTAAAACTCCAAAGCGATGTTAATAGAATAGAGATCTGGTCAAAGACTTGGAAATTAAAATTTAAGACAAGTAAAAGTAAGGAAGTGTTTTTCCAGTCCAAAACTAGAACTCCAATTGCTCAAATTCCTATTGTGTTAAATGGTGACTCTATCCCTTTCACCAATAGTCACAAACATCTTGGACTTATTTTAGACAAGGCTTTAAACTTTGAAGAACACATTAACAGTATAATTGTTAAATGTAACAGGATGTTGAACCCACTTATGGCACTAAAACATAACTTAAGATCACAACATCTAGAGAAGATTTATATGGCATTTATACTACCTCACTTAGAATATGGGAATATCATTTTTGATTGTGCAAACTTAAATTTACTTTCTAAATTGGACAGTATTCAGTATAGGGCAGCATTGATTGTCAGTGGATGTGCCCAAGGTACAAATGCAACCAAAGTCACCTCATGCTTAGGTTGGAGGTCCCTAGGGGCCAGGAGGGATGAAAAGAAACTATTGTTTACTTATGACGTCATAAATAACAACAAAATGCCTTCCTATGTAAACCAGGCCTTTTCTTTATATAGAAATCATAATGAAATGAATAATGTAAATCGGTTACGCAGAGTCAGATCTTTCAGAATACCAGCTCACTGTAAGGCCAAGATCAGAAAGGGTACGGTGATATCTTGTATAACAGCATGGGAGAAACTGCCTGGTGATTTGAAAGCTATCCAATCTAGAAATTGTTTTAAGTTTAACCTGAGGAAACATATTCAAAATTCTAAAATAAAGCTACCTACTCCAAAATTGCATCTTGATAGGAAGACAGAATCAACTTTGAATAAGACTCGATGTGACTTTATTTTTAGGCAGCATTTATTCACACATAATTTTAGAAACATTGATATTCCAAGTTGTAATTGTGGCTTTAGATCACAGTCTACAATGCACCTATTATTACACTGCCCTCTATTCATTGTTCAGCGAAACTTGTTTTTGGAAGAACTTGGGGAACTGCCATCCTTTGATTTAACCGTGTTTGGTCAACTCAGACAGCAAGACAGGGTAAATTATTTGTTATACGGTGATTGCTCATTATCGTATCTGACAAATCAGAAAATTGTTGAAATGACTGCAGGTTTTCTGCAGTTAATTGTTACTATTTTAAATGAGTAAGTTTTTATTTTTATATACTGTTCTGCATTACCGAGTTGATCCTTAAATCTCATTGCAACTTCACTTTACATTATATAAATTCTTGACTACCAGGGCCAATAATGCATTGCTTCGGCCCTTGCTGTGTTTGTAATTTGTTTTGTTTAAATGATAATAAAAAACTTTAAACCTAAAAATAAAAACTGATGGTATAATAAGTTGATTGTATCAGCGATTTGAAAATGTTATTATTTGAATTGCCATTTAAAAAGATTATACTATCTCTTAAAGTTGTACTCAAACCATTTTACTCGATTTAGATATATTTATGCCATCTTACCGTATGAAGGCCACACTTTACGATGGTGAACCATTAGCAATTCCAAAAGTTCATTTTATCATGATATCGGGGATATTAAGTCAGCAGGCGTCTGTTTTCGTGGCAAAACTGATTTCATTTTCAGAGCAGAAATTTTAGGTCATGTGACATGACGTGTGTGGTTGAAACAGTTTGCCGCGAATTATGATTTTGTAGATTAAAATGAAACCCTGGCTTTCAAAAACGATTTATTTGCTCTTATATTGAGCCAATTATTGCATGATTGAGGGCATGATTGATAAACAAAAGGGTTGCAATTTGTGCTAAAAACAAGATAAGAGAATCTTAAATTGGTTTTAGTACAACTTTAAAATTGGAGGTCTGCGTCGTATCTTTTCAAATTAAGTAGAAATTGGATTCTGAATTAAGTTGTCGTTTCTTAATATGTTGATTGAGATTTGCCATTCCACTGAGCTGCAATTCTCTAGTTTAATTTGTTCAAAAGCATGTCAGATTGACAATTGGTGATAAATGAGGAAAACATGAACGAACTTGCCAATTAGAATGAACATTAAAGAAAACTTACGCTTAAGAAGTTTTACAGCGACTGTTTGTGATATATCATGAGTGGTTACGAGTTCAGCCTTCAAGACTCTCCCAAATGCACCTTCACCAATCTCACAACCCAATACGAGGTTAGAGAGTGAGACTTCGTACTCATCAACGCATGCTCCACTTGCATCACTGTTGTTGTTCTCACCATTAGTCAGCTCTACTGACTTGAAAATATATTTCTGAAATATATGAAAGTTTTGAGTATATATGAGTATGACATGTTTTATAATGAAATACTTTGATTTATGACTGTTTTGTGATTGAAAAGTAAGAACTGTTGAATCTTTTAAATGGGCAGGACATGATGAGAGTATAAAAAGACAATTTGTGACAATTTGCTTGAAAATCCCAATCCTTTATCCCTCGACTCATTTTACTTATTGGACACTTCCCTTTGGATTTGTTTGACTTCACTTCTTCAAAGAGAGCTTATTTCCAGGTAGTTTATAACTAGACTCTTCGCGCAGGGTAATTAGTCTCAAACCCTCTTGATAAATCATAGTGTATTGACTGAGATAACAATGTTAGTGAAACCTAGGGATTAACACAGTTGCTCATCAATCTTCTAAGCATATCTGCTATTTACGCTTTGCATGTCCTTATCAATTTACATAATTCAATTATACCAACTAAGATGGTAAATTCTCATTTTATGTTCTTAAATAAGTTATATGATTTTATTTCAATCATCTGCTAATATTATGTATTAATAATCAAGATTGTTGTTTCAGTTATTTATACATCAATATTACCAACCTCGTTTGTCCGCCAAGCATATTTTCTTCTGCGTTTGAAGTATAATACAACCAATACAAGGATTATGGCGAGACATACTAGAAGTACAGCTATCAGATATGGCAATGCAGTCTTTATCCAACTGAATCCTGAAATATGTCAACAAGAGCCTCTAATGAGTAATATTCAAAAGAATGTAGGTTAGAGGCTTATACTTGCTTAAAACTTGTCTAATCTTAGCGTATCTAAGACTAGCAAAAGGTATTTGGAGGTGTAAGGAGGCGTAAGGATAAGCTGAAAAAATTATTAATGTGGCTAATATTTTCTAAAATATATTAGCCACTCTGAAAAATTATTAGCCAAAATATTTTCTACCAAATGACATAAAAACCGTACTTTCAAACAAACTCAAAGCAAATATGAGCTACTGTAAAATTTACATTGACCTGAAAACAAGTTTTGGCATCTCAACTGATTCATTAAAATAGCGAACGCAACAGATCTTATGAAGTTGCCCTGTGTTAAATTTCCATTGAAACAAAAATAATTGTGGCATCTCATGCATGAAATTACGAAAATTACGAAAGTTCAAAACAGAGAATTTCCCCGTTAACTGCAGCTGGATAATTTATCTGTTTCTCAAGTAGGTTCAGTTTAAAGATCTGCGCCACATTTGCGAATATTTAGATCAATATCTTCTTGTTTGGTTTCTTTAAAGTTTTTAGTCACCCTTCCCTTTGGCATTTGTGCTTATACAGGGTGGGCCAAAAAAAACCACCCCCTAGCCAATATTTCTGATAAATATTCAATTTTTAACATGTACACCTATAATGATATATCGTTTTAAAGATAATTTAATTTGCAACAAAATGATATAAAACATAACAATTTTCAACAACTCTGGCTTGAGCTATAACCATTTATGTGACATGGGGGTAAAAAAACACCTTTTCAATTTTCGTCGATTTTGCGAACAATTGCCTATTTCTACCAAATTTTAGTAAATTACAACATTGTCATGAGTCTTTCATGATTGGATATTATATATTGTTTTCATTCCGTCTTTGAACCTTGCATGCTCAATATACATGTGTATGCTTATAAAACTAATTCATTTATTCTTCAGTCTGTCCAAATATGGCTCAATAGACTCACCCCCGGACCCAACTTCTGATTTGATTTGTCGCTTAAAACGTGAAAGCCATTGGTATAATTGATGGACCTCTGCAGAAGTACCATCCAACACCTAATTATTCATTCTTTCAGTATGTCTACACCCCTGATGGGCTAGGGATCTCCATAGACCAACTGTTCTTAATGCCCCAAGTACTATACATGTAATCAAAAGGCTATACTCTATATAAGTAAGCAAGAATAGTGAAATTTTTGCGATAAAAGGCTACTCAAATCGAGATGACATTTTTCTGAAAGGTAGGTAGTGTCCACTCAGCGTTTCCCAAAAAGGATAGACCATACAGACCCTGTTTTTTGAACCGGGAGCAAAAATATACTCTGAATGTTAATGACATGAGGTGGTAATAAAGGACTCCTGAAGAATATAAAAAACATGTGAAAGAAATTTCATTTTCTCATAGAACAGTGCTCCATCACACAGGTCCAATGCTACCCTGGAGTTTTTGGAGATTGGAAATGTCACCATCTCTAGCCCAGAAAATGGCTTACTGGCAGTCCAGTTGCCAATAATGTTCATTACCATACCTGGGAGCATCTAGAACAGTTGGTATTTAAATATACCCAGTCTATCAGGGATGTAGAGGAACTAAAATAAAGAATAACTAGCAGTTGAATGGTACTTCCGCATACATCCATCAATTATGCCATCAACCAATGGCTTCCACGTCTTAAGCGAATAATCCAATCAGAGGATGGGTCCGGGGGGTGGGTCTATTGAGCTATTTTTGGACAGACTGAAGAAGAAATGAATTAGTTTTACAAGCATACACATGTATATTGAGCATGTGTGGTTCGACGAAAATTGAAAAGGTGTTTTTTGACCCCCATGTCACATAAATGGTTATATTTCTATATGGGGTTGTTGAAAATGGTGCTATTATATACCATTTTGTTGCAAATTAAATTATCTTTAATATGATATATCATTGTTGGTGTGATTGTTAAAAAATAAATATTTATCAGGAATATTGGTTAGGGGGGTGTTTTTTTTGGTCCACCCTGTATATTCACCAGGTGCTAAAAATATTTGCAATTGGCGAACAGCAACAGCTTATCTAGACCTCTCATAATATTCAGGTTTTACTGTATATTGTTTACTTTCTACTTTACACTGTCTATAAATAACCCATCCTTCTACTTTAAACATTATTTCATTTTCAAAAAAAAGTCATGAAGGAATGAAGGGAACGATCAGAATTGTGATATAATTCAGTTTTGATAATATTATTGTTAAAATTAATCTGAAGCAAAAGGAAAGATTCAGACTTCATCATAGAAAATATTCTAAACATGCAATTAACTCCAAGAAATCATAAAATATTGAATTGTTTGATAAATGCCAATCTGTCCCAGGGCATCTGTACTCACACAAGTACCATCCTTAAATGAACATTCTTTACTGGCCTGTTGTTATATTGGTATGGTAAAACAGCAAATGGTACGGTAAAATGGTAAAACAATCAATTTTATATAAAATTATGAAAAAATCATAATTGACCTTTTTAACAACCAATTAGTGTTGTCGCGATGTGCCATAATCGTACATCGATGCATCGGCAATTTTCAGTAGTAAACATCGATGCACATCGCGATGTACATAGAGAAAAAGTTCGAGAAAAGTGCACTGAAATACCGAACTCTAATGCACTAAAAAACCGAACAGAACGCGAACTTCTAGTAACGGTGAAATGAAAGTAAAGTAGATTTTTTAAGATGAATGGTTCATTTCGACAACCTAAAACAGTTTTAAAGCGAAAGAATATCAGAAAACATTGGAAAATGAAATAAGACATGAAAAAAGGTAAGCAATTTGCGTCAAAATAAGATAAGAAAAGGCGATTTTTAGCAAATTAATTTTTTTTTAAAACATCGATGTTTTGTTTCAGACATCGATGCATCGCCAGAATCAGCTTTGGCAATGTATATCGCGATGTAACGATTAATCGCAACAACACTACAACCAATGGATAGAAACTGACCACTAAAAAAAATCCACACATAGCTAAGCAAGGTGTGTCTGATTCCAGCCAATCAGCACAGAGTGTTCACATAATGAACAGTGTGTGAAGACTCCATGCATTGTAGGTGCTTCATTCCACTCAGGCGATCTTTCCTAAACTTTGCATTCCTGCTGCGCGGTCATGCAAATGTTTGGAAACAACACCTGAGTGGTATGATTCGGCAAACAATGCACCGAGTACAGGGCTTAAATCCTTAAGTATTTTCCATCACAGAGAGCACTTATGCTATAACAGTATTGTTAGAAAACTTTACCTTGAAACAATGTGCCTGAATTCATTTTCTCAGTGACTGCATGACAAATCTCAATTATTTCCAACTTGTGCTATTAGATATTTTATTCATTATCATTATACTTGACATCTCAATTACTTTTATGTTATTCTTTGCATTGTACTCTGGGTTATTAATCACCAATAATCCCACAATAATTGTCTGACTTTGAATGGTATTGCCATATTTTTTCAAAGGCCATTCTTATACTGATCGGCTCTTATAGGGAGCATCGGGAAAATGCCTCAGATGATACAAGCAATATTTCTTTTATTAAACAATTAACTATTGTAATTTTATCACATATAATGTGATATGTATCACTCAGTATTATTGGTTGTTATATAATATGTCTCTAAATATTTTGAATGGAACAATAAACTTAACTTACTAAGTACTAGTTTCCAATATGTTCCAATGTGGAGGTTATTACAAGAGCAGTTCAAAAAGTGATGTGCATTTTGAGCCAATTCCAACTGTTTCAGAATCAAGAATTTAATTTTTATTCAACTTTAATAATTGTTAAGACAATAGTTCTTCGAAATTATGACCATGCAGTTATAGATGGTTCCCAAACATTCCTGGACTTCCTATGCATTAGGCTGGTTGTTCATTATCTATAAACTTCAGCTCTTTCTTTGGGTTCATTTTTAGAATACTGTTTACAAAATGATCCCTCGGCTAAACTTTTCTCTCAATTACAATCAAACACCAATGGGACTGGCCATTTAAATGATTCACATTGACATGTGTTCATATTTTAAGTTTTTTCAACAAAATATGGTAGTCTCTGGCAGATTCCAAAATGGGACTGCAAAAATTGATATTCAGAGGTGCAGATTAGAGATGTGTTAATTGATATGTGTTGATATAAGGATTCAATATATCCATGTTTCAATAAAAAAAAGCTTCAATTACCTGATAAAGTTTCTGTGGGAAGTTTCAGTGCACCCAGACCAGCTGAATCATCTGAAAAGATAGCAGTACATAGAGGTACAATTATTAAAGCTCCTTTTCTTTTCTAATGTTGCCCCTTGTGCATGCTGATTGCATTGCATATAGTACAAGTATAGTTTAGTTATGCCAGAAATGATAAAAATTCTCCATTTTGTGTTGGTTACAATTATTTTTTCAATAATTATTCAACTTACGTGTGGTGTTGATGCGTAGAAAGACTGGATCACTGATCCCAGCACTCGACTTTGCATAGATTTCTATCTCATATAGATTGTCCCAAGTCAGTTTTTCAAATAGCCATGTGCTTGTATTCTAAGCAAAGATATGCAATATATCATCTTTATGACAAATTGCTTTTTGTATCATGTTAATGACAATTTGCTTTTTATTTATATCATGTTAATGACAATTTGCTTTTTATTTATATCATGTTAATGATTCAATTCAATTCAATTTTATGCAATTTGCTCTTTATTTATATCATGTTCATGACAACTTGCTTTTTAGATCATGTTTATGACAACTTTCTTTTCATATCAAATTAATATAATGACAACTTGTATATGTTTAATAATATGATTGACTTTTCTACATACAAAGTTAAAAGTTACCTGCTGAAGATGGATGCTGTCCCCTTCAGGTTTTGCATTATTTCCAGCTTGAATGTGAAACAGAGGAACTTTACGCCATTTGATCTCGTAAGAATCAATGTTATTAGATGGTGAGGTCCCATTTGGCGGATCCCACTGAACATTCACATTGTAAATAATATTTTGTTCCCCTGTCCGGTTGGTAACTTTATTCTCTTCATATTTCCATTGTGGGTTTTGTGGGGGCCCAGGAGCTTAAAAATTCAAAACATTGTGTGTCATTAAGTGGTTTTCTATTCAACTTGCTTTTTAGATCATGGTGATGACAACTTGCTTTAATATCATGTTTATGACACAACTTGCTTTTTAGATCATATTTAGGACATTTTGCTTTTATATCATGTTTATGACACAACTTGCTTTTTATATCACATTTAGGACATTTTGCTTTTATATCATGTTGATGACACAAGTTGCTTTTTAGATCATGTTAATAACAACATGCTTTTTAGATCATATCTAGGACAACTTGCTTTTATATGATGTTTATGACACATGTTGCTTTTTAGATCGTGTTAATGATACTTGCTTTTTAGATCACTTGCTGTGTCAATTATGAATAGTAATACAATGTATAATGTGCATGTTTTGTTGGGTGTACATACAATTGATTCACACTTCACCGAATTGGACTTTCAGTCAAAATAAACATTTTTGCTGTATATAAACTGATAATTTATCGTTTTAAAATATATACCTTATGAAATAGGTTACTAAGTCATCAATATAATTATTAACACAAATTAATATCAGAAACATATAAACAGAAAAATGTGAAAAATTGATCAAACACTTTATATATATCTGCCCACACTTTAATAATGTTTTATGATGAAATTTCAACTTGAAAACTCATAACACTGAGTAGCAAACTCACTAAACAAAACATATTGTTTAATTTTCACGTTAGATCATGGTTTGTTTTTTACTTATGTCTGGCATACTCCTAACTGTTTTCTTTTTCTTGCTGTGTTCTGTTATAATTTTTGGTCCTTTCCCTTTGGCACTTGTCCATACTATATACATACATACATATTTATATCAAGTCACTTGTAATTTACTTTGAACACTAAATTGATCCAAAATGAAGTTTCCTGGGTGAAATTTGTTAAATCCAAACAATTGGGGAATTCCTGATAGCTGACAATGTATTGATTAAATATGTTGGGAATATGTAATAAACTTATGGATCACTTTTCAATTATAAGTTGGTAGTGCTAATTGATTGGATGCTAAAATGGATGCAAAATTTAAAAAATACATCATTTAAAAGGCAATTCAGTGCACTCTAGTAGGTGGATATATAGGTGGCTCTGGCTTATCCAAATCATACTTTAAAAAATATGCCCCTGTGCATTATATAGGAAATAGTCCACACAGCCCATTTTGTACATTTGCTTAATTTTTGATAGTTTGTTACATCATGTTACTTTCAACTTCTAACTGAAAGCCCATGGTTACATGTAAAATGTTTTTACATGGATACTAATTGTTACTTTTTGGATAGTATATGACATGTTAAAGTGAATTCATCATTCAGCCCCCCCCCTGAAAAATATTACTTTTCAAAATATTACTTTGACATTAGTTTTCAGCAAAAACATACTCCCTGAAAATGAAAAATAGCTGATATTGTGAGAATCTTGTCTCCCCAAAAATGTTGTTAATTTAAGTTTTGATTGTATTATTTAATCATGACCCTTTTTTGACATACGGGTACTTAAGTTATATTAAAACACTGATTGGTTGGTTGTTGGAAAGAACTGCATAGAAATCATACATCCACTACATATGCGCACTAATAAACTAAATATTAGCTATTTGAGCAGTCTGAGCAATAAAATGACAAGGGTTGACTGAACCAAACTGTACATAGTTTTTTTTATTTATAAGGGTAATGGGAAGTCATAGAAGCAAAGAATAATAAAGTTGCACAGCTGATTTTAATTACAACAATCCAGTAACTGGAAATACTGTAGGTCTATTATATACATAGTCTGTACATGTATACTGTAAATGATTGATGGCTTTTGTGCTGCGAGAGTTCTTTGATGTGTAAATTAAGTAGATAGGTACACAAAGGTTACGCTTCATAAGCTCCCAATAATCTCACTTATGTATAATTCAAAACCTTCTCTTCAATATCTTCCGCCTGGCATCACGCTCATAAACAAAAAAGGTAGAAAGAATGAACACTTGATACTCATCGACTTACCTATGATCAACCAATGAAAACCATGTGATTGACTATGTTATTTGAAGATTAACAATTTGTGAGCTTGCATCAATCAGCATATGTTTCAATGGATGGAGCACTGAGCCACAAATTAATCTTTTTAAGAGAAAGTGTGCATGAGGATATAATATTTAGACCCATAGGGATTACTGTCCCGCTCTCAATTCACTTTTCCAGGGATCTAGTTACAATATACCTTCATACACTATAAATGGGAGAGCTAATCCATAGAGGACCATAATCCTACATCATCACGTACAAGTTTTTTTTAAAAATTGTGTAGCTAACCCGTCTATTATCCTTTCAATAAGCAAAACTACCATTTGTGAATATTTCAACTCAGTCACTCATAATATCAATACAACAGCAACTCTGTTATTCTCATTCTATTACTTCATTTCCTATTGGAGACATGGAAAGTTTTTAAGAGATCATGTGGAAAACACTTTACAAATAAATCAATTTACGAGGGAGGTGATGAGGTCTTGAGGTAAACAAACTCCTCAAGCGACATTTTCAATCAAGGTTCATTAACTTTTACATCACATCCTGTGAAAGTCTCTAAGATTGATTGATATCACCAGTTTGTGTAATTTATAGTTATCGCAAGTGCTATGTTGTTCCTTAGTGAAAACTAGGGTCAAGTACGAGGGGTGATCAATAAGTAATGGATGCTTTTTTACACAGATACTTTTTATAGACCAATCCCTTTTATTTTCCTACCAGTGATACGTCATTCAATTATCTATTAATTCTGAAGATTTGAAGACAAAATATATAATATATGTTGATATATCCTTATTTCCGTGAAGGAGGTACAGGTACCCTGGGACCGACATTTACGTCACATATTCAGTTTTTAGCCAGTTTGGCAAATTTCAGTTAGATTTGAACTTTTTATATGCAACAAGTGTTGTGTTGTTTGACATTTTTGCTGACTGGTAACACATAAACAGAAAGTATTGTGATGTCAGAGTGTTGTATGGAAGGGGTTTTCAGGTCAATTTGAGAAAGCATTGTGGAAGAAAGGGGTGGTGAGAGAAGGGAACACCCTACTCCATATGGACAATGCACCTGCCCACAGATCTCAAAATGTTCAGAAAACAATATCCCTGGACCTCAAAATTGAGCTCTTGGCCAATGCACCATATTGTGCAGATCTGCTCACATGTGACTTATTTATTTCTATACTACTTATTTCTATAGAGAAAGGATGCAGGTTTATTGCCATTGATGAAATAAAACAACCCGTGCAACTGCATCTTGCTACCATGTCAGAGAATGGATTCAGCCTTGTCTCACAATCTTGAGTTAAGAGGATGAGTAATTGTGTACATGTAGCGTTTGATGGAACCTATGTAGAGGGACCTGTGGAATGAATGTGGCATGAATACCACATAGTGATGATAAAATATTCAAAATCAACTATGACATAACAAAATGGGGTAATTCATTACCATAATGGTTTGTTTTGTTCAGCCTGCATTCAACTGCATTGCATGTTAAACAAGCTAAAATAGCTTTAGAATGTTTGACGTAAATGTCGGTCCCGGGGTACCTACACATCCTTCACGGAAATAAAGATATATCAAAATATATTACATGTTTTGTTTTCAAATCTTCAGAGTTGATAGATAATTGAATGATGCATCACTGGTAAGAAAATCAAAGGGATTGGTCCATAAAAAGCATCTGTGTAAAAAAGCGTCCATTACTTATTGATCACCCCTCGTAATTGACCTAATCTACACTAAGTTTCCAATTCACCGTTGGAAAGCTGAGAGTGTCAACTTTAAGAATAATATTTCCATTCAAATTTTTATATTGGAAATCCCTTTTTGAGCACAAGTCCTAAGCTCACTAGGTATCAGCCTACATGTATAAGATTTGAACCAAAATCTGTCAATCTGTACTGTATTTGAGTAATTGCCTGGACATATGTATGGATTGATGAACAGACCGATGGATGGCTTCTCTATATCCCTTCGTTCTTTGTGATAATTATGTGAGATAGAAAGCATTTCATTTAACAAGCATTTAAGGTTAGGTAATTCTAACTTACCACATTTTTTGAAGCTACCAGCATATGCCTGAAGACAACTCATTGAGATGAATGAGAAAGTTGTTGCATTGGATTCTCTTTGAAATGCACCATCAGTTGCTCTCACTTTCACTGTGTAGTTGGTAGAAAACATCAAGTTTTTAAATCTATGCAGTGTCTTTGGCAACTGAAATGAAATACAATTTTGATCCAATTCATTTGATAATTGTTAGAAACTTGTGAATGTATAAGTATAAGGAATTAGTATAAAGAAACACAAAACAAGCCTACCAAATTTGTGACAGTTTTCACAAAATGTTTTATGATGGTCTCAGATAGATGCTAGAATTAAATATAAAAGACCACCTCTGAACTAAGGTTCCAATACACCATTGGAAAACTGAAAGGGTCAGCTTTTGGAATCTGAACTTTTTGATCTAGAAGTTTACTTATCAATGATGAAATAATTCCAAAGGAACTACATTAGTGGAATCCATCAAGCCAAATATTTGACCTTTGACCTCTAGTGTCACCTATTTACTAGTACAGCATATATTTATTCACTCTAATGTAGAATTCCATCTCAAGCATGCATGTCTAATATCAAGTGATTCCATTGAATAGTTTCTCAGACATAACCAGTCCATACAGACATTCCATATGTTTTCACATACAACCACCCTCACACCCTCATGTAAACTGGGGAGAGAAGTAAATGCACATGATCACTGATCACGCAGAGTGACACAAATATATTCTTTATGCAATAAAGTATAATTTCCTGTTTTATATGAAAAATCAATGAAAAATTATGATAATAAAAAAAGATACTTGGCATTGCTTTCATGGATAGTTGGGTGGTAATTTCAAAGAGAAAATGTAATCCTAACCACAAAGTGTAAACATCATAATTATATACTATTGTCTTGCCTAGACCACACACTTTGTTGTTATGGACATTTTTATTGACAATAGAAACCAATTATCAAAATATATTTGATTGGAAAAGCACGATTGATTTCTTAATTTTACCCCTTGGAGATGAAAGGGTTAAGTATTTAATTTTGCATTCAGCAAAAATTAGAATGCAGGTTAGATTCTGAAAGCTGACACTCATACATCTTAGTGGAGAAGAGGTAATTTAAAAAACACTAAGGAGCGCACTTGGAGGCTCTATCTTGCTCAAGTAATATGTCATAATGACTGGTCATTAATTCTTACTTCTGTAGTACTAGTGTACTGTTAGGCTGGATGAATAATATATGTATGCTACGTGATTCATTTTCGTTCACACGGCTCCCATCGGTCGCAGAACGCAGTGAAGGTCGAGCGTGCGAAGATGGCGTGATTATAACTATAAAATCTGACTTAACACAATGATGAATGTGATAATGATTAATTTATAATATTCAAAAAGCCTATTTATTATCCCATTGAACAAAGTTTAGGGGATATAGAGAGAACAGCTTATTTAAGATTACAATTATGTGGAAAATATAAATAAAAGTATTAAAAAACATGGTGGTCAAATGGCCATCTTGATAAATGTTGGCCATTACATATTATTTTACAATTTTTGCTATAACTAAAAAGTTGTGGAGAAAGGTTCTCACATTTTATATGTGAATACTGGCCCCTTTTTACTTTTACTTAGAAAGTGGTGGAGTGATTTTGTTATGATATGTACCTTATTTGAAGCATACTACACTTTTTATGACAATTTGGCTTGTGAATGGCCCTCTTTAAAAATGGTGGCCATTTTTATGTGTTATATAACGATTTTTGCTTTAACTGAAAAAGTAGTAGAGGAAATTTGTATACTATAAAAATGGCACCCATGGCTGTCCAGTGGGATTTGTTACGCCTTGCCATTGCTGTTATCTAGTTCATCTGTATACAACATTAAGGTTCGATTAACAAGATATTGCCCTTTGATGATTTTTATTTTTTATAATTAACTAGAAAACAGCAACTCCAACATTATTGCAGATCACATTGAACCGAATAAATTGTTTCCCAAATTGTAAACAATATCATACATGTATTGCGGTATTTTCTGGAATAGCTTCCATAAGAAAGAGCAGGCTTGCCCCTTATGTTTACCTCTATGAGGCTTTGTATAAAAAATCTCCTACCTCATAAATCTTAGTTTATGATGAATTATAGATGCATTTGTAATGACCCTTGATAGCAAGTTGCTACTACATCCCAGCTGGGTTCGATTCCCACTCGGGGCATCGAATTTAGCACACTTTCTTTCAATTTCTTTATCTGGTTTGTTGGACCTATGCTCGCGGTTGTTAGTTATTTATTCCCCTGGGGCGCCCTGGGGTCATTACACATTAAAATGCATCCATATGCCTTTATTTATGGATCTGTCATCTGTCTAGTCATAAAATAAAGCCGGTATTGTAGAAATGTTAAAAAACGTGAGCTATTTTGAGATTTAATAATCTTTAAAATTGAACCCTTCAATGACTGTATCATGTTCCACATAGGTGGGTAGGTGGGTATGAGGTAGGAGGTTTTTTATACAAAGCCCCTCTATGGAAATAAATTGTTCCCCTGAGTCTCATATAGTTCAACCATAATTATTGGGTGTGAAATAATCAATAGATTCTTACCATTTCTTTCTCCTGTGTGATATAACCTGCTTCTCCATTGGAAAACAAATGTATTCTGTATTGGCAGCCAGCATCTGAAAAGAAAACAAATAGTAAATTGAACTTGAATTTGCTAATAATGCAAATATCACGTCTTTGTTATTTTTGATAAAAAAAGAAGAAAAAATTAGCTATTGAATAATATGGCATGCTTTGAAGTAAACCTAAAGCAAATATTGTCATATTGTAGTGATAATTGGTGTGTCAAGCTTATATTGAATATTTTAAAAGAACATGACATGAGACCAATTACTGAAAGGATAATGGATGTGTCTTAATTAGCCAAGTAGGGCCTTTAAAAAAACTTATCTTGTGTTTGAACTGGATTTCTGCCATTAATTGTCTTCGAATATTATTGTTTTGTAACAAAACTAACAAAAAATCACCTTTAAAATGCCAATATTTTGTCCCCAGTAGACACTGGCTAGACAGAGATCTAAAGTGATTAATCCAAAGATGTTGGTGATGTTTCAGACAATTGATCTCAGCAGATTTCATTTGAAGCAATTACTTAATTGATATTCTAGGAAGACAGCCAATTTAGAATAAATGCAATAGAAAATGGCTTTGGGGTAAGGGAAATCAAGACTGCCAAATCAGTATTGTAACCTATCATTTCACCATTCTCCTGATAAATTAATATATAACTTATATAATGATTTTTTATTCAATGTTTTTTTGTGCAAAAGGTATTGATTTGGTAGAGAATCAAAGCGGAGGAATTGGCTGGATGAAAATTTGGAATCTAATTGTCAACCTGAGATACGCCACATTGCATTGAATATGATTGAATGAGGAATCTACTCCTTCTTTGTGGCTGCATAATGGAATGTTGGTTTCACATATTTATTATTCTGATTTGATGCTATATCACAATCATGACAAACCATGACATCTCATTTCTGCTAGAAACAGAAAGATGAGCATCAGCGTGCTCTATAGCACAATTATGTAAAGAGTGTTGGGGACTTGAAATCCAATGCTTTGGAAATCCAATATTTTACCTGCTGATGGTATCCACCCAATAGTTGCTTGTATCTTGTTGTGTTCCTCATGCTGCTCTACAAGGTAAACCTTTAGAGGCTGCTTGGGTACCCAACCAACTGAAATAAAATTAGAAAACAATTGTTGTATTCATGGGCTCAGTTTTGAAGGAAGTTTCATCAATTTTATAAAATTCAAGATAAATCTTATTTTCTTGGATTGTTTATACCACAATTGCACCCCCCCCCCCCCGACTGAAAACCAAAAAGTCTTTGGCAATCGCACCCCCCCCCCATGACTGTAAGCTGGCTACGCCCCTGGTGTTACTTAAATGACATCTGACTGAGTCAGTAAAAGAAAATATAGTATATATTAAAGGAACCAATTTTAAAATAAAATGAGGCATTGAGATACAGGCTTGCCAATCACATACAATTGTATCCAGCCTTCACAATTTTAACCAATTCCTAAACCCAAACCAACCAAAAATTTGAGTTATCATCTGACAAACAAATGTAGATGTATGGAGGGATATACAGACAGGTGGATCATCACCTTAACCCTTTATTATTTAATCTGTATAAATGTTTGTGTTTTATGCAGTTACAAATAACAATTGCTAAGTGAATAACTTACACCAGTTATTTACAAACAAACATAAATGTTTCAAAGCATTCTTTTATGAACAATTTTTTTTTTATTTATTATATCAAGATTTACTTGTCTAAAAATAAAGTAATAACAAGTTACAATGCAATTTTAATTGAGTTATATTCTTGTTTAACTATTAATAAGTTAATATATAACCCAACAATATGCACTCTCGCATGTAGCTAGTCTCCAACAATTAACCCCTTTGTGAATACAGTCACATGTACTTTAAAAAAATTGTAAGAAAAATTTCATGCAGAATGGTAATTAAAAAGCCTGGAAAGGAATAATTTGATTGAATGATTTCATCAGGGAGGGTGCAAATTTCCCAATTGTTTAATGCCTGATCTCCTAACATATAGTTATTGCAAACTTATTTCTGAATTTTATATAAAATGTACAGATTGGGGATCTGCTTGTGTGATGAATGCTACTATCTATGTCTGACTAATTACGTAATTATATAATGCCCATTATGGTTATCTAAAATTGATATGAAAGCTTTACCATAATTTGTTTGAATTTTGGGTTTGTCATAGTTAACCCTATTTCGGGTGTTGTAAACATGTCTCTCTTGAATGGTACTGAAAAGGTTTGGAAAAATTGTATGATAATTATAGAGTTTATTAATCCATTTGTACATGAAAAGGCATTTCAACTGCTTATTAATATCAAATATATTCAAACTGTTCAGTTGTTTAAATAGGGGAAGGGAAGAGAATGTGCTCTGTAGTTACTGTTTGTTGCAATACGTGTAAATTTTTTCTGCAAAATATGAAGGGAGTTTAATAAACCACTACCTGCTTCACCCGAGATAAATTTGCTATATATCAAATAAGAGTCAATAAGGGAATAATAGATGCTCAAGAATGCTTTATCATTTAACAGTTGATTGAACCTATAAAGAATACCAATGGTTCTAGAGATTTTAGCATTAACAGACATAACATGACGTTTCAAGTTTAAGTTTTGATCAATTGTAATACCATAAGAAAATTAATGTAATCAACCTGCTGAAGCTTCTTTTTATTCAGATAGATGTTTATATTAGTTGCATTATATCTTTTTTGACTTGAGGTGAAAATAATATATTTTGTTTTATCCGCATTAAGGGATAATTTATTATTGATAAGCCACTCCTCTATTAGTTTTAGTTCAGTATTGAGGATATCAGCAAGTTCAGTTTTACCTTTAATCAATAAATTGGTATCATTCGTGAATAAAACAAAAAACAATCATGGAGAAGAAAGGTAAATGCCCTTCTCACACCGGAATAGCCTGACAACAGTAAAGTTAGATAATGTTGTCTCAAATGGCGGGCATAACCGTCGCTTCAACTGTTTAATCACTTGGTCCTCATTTCATGGGATTTTATCGTCGCTAATTCTGTGCATGTATTAAGCTCTTGTGATGATGTTTCATATGAAATCCCAATTTCGATCAAATTGGGTCGTGAATCGCCACAATATTGCATCTTTGAGATCGTCAATGACAACGGAATCTGAATTTGAGTAATTTAGAAAGACCACAGCATATGGTAATAATAATTACAGTGTCTGTTGTCTCGTATCTTATTTTGATCGGTTAAATTAAAGACTTTATTTCGATGGTAAAACATTATTAACCGTACAATGAGTATTAAGACACTTTGATTGATTGTTGTTCCAAAGGAATTTAGTCTAGGTGCTCTATTGAACATACAGTTCATAAAAATCTAATTGAAATGACAGTTATGTCCGCCATTTGTGACAACGGTATCTGACCTTACTGTTGTCAGGCTATTCCAGTGTGCTTCTGCATATTATTTGTACATACTACCCATGCCTCAAATCCTTTTTTACATAGCTTATTGTCAAAATGCTTCATGATGAAGTAATTTAACTCCTGTTGTAGAACAGTTACCATTATTGTCTCTCTATTTGACAAGACTTTTAACTGACAAATAACACGAGGGAAATCTTCTAAACATTGTATACGATATTCTGTACAAAAGTTATTAATTCTTGTAAAAAATAAGTATTCATGTCTACTCATCATGAATTTGCATGTACCTGTTAGATCCTTATAGTCTTTACTTATACAGGAAACATGAAAGCTTACAAAGAGAAAATAAATCCTTTTAATGGAATTTATTGAGGAAAGAAATTATAGAACAACGGATGCATGCTTGCCTATGAATCTTTTGAATGGGCATTTCCCATCGGATGTTTTTGAAATATTGTGAATTGAATAATAGATGGGGACTTCGTTAGCATTAAAAAACATCTCATACTTTTATATTTTATATGGGAACCCGTTAATGACACATTTTACTACCAGTAAACAAGTCTTGAATAATATATTGAGTTAAATTACTCTAGGTCTAAATTAATACCAGGCTCTATCAGTTAATGTACAGTATGGGATAAATAATGTCACAGTCTAATCATGCATTAAACATTAATCAAAAAAGGTTAAAATCATTAAACAGCATTCAAGGTACATGTATCTTGTTAATAACTTACTTGGTAATGTACTGAATGGCTTGGCAGTTGCTGGTGTTGATGCTACTCCCTCTGATGTAACAACTGTCACTCTTAACTGCCACATGGCGTCTGGATTAAGCTGACCATTTTTGAAATTGTTCGTGAGGTTTACAAAGTCATTCTGCACCTTAAAATTCACATGACTAAGAAGTTATTCATTGCCATTTAACAAGATTCCATTAAAGGATTGGTATTGGTATGGAGAACTGAATTCAACAATATTTTTCTCTTAAACCAGTCATTGAAAACATTCTGTAAAAAACACGGTATTTTATGTAATGTTGACTGACTGTACAATTACAATTTTGAGAGACTTAAACATGTCGTTTTGTTCCAATGATGTTCGGAAAGATGTTTCATTTCACTCTGGAAACATGATACCAAGACCAAAACAAGTGTTTGATGTGTTTTCTAAAACAATATAGATGTTAGTATATAAATACATTTAAATTATATTGTTACCATTCAAAAGATGACCATTTAATTTACGATATGTTAAATTTTTAGATTTTTTATGACTGGTTTTAGAGAAACGTGTGTTCAAAAATTTCTCTATATCGATACCACTCCTTTATGAGGAATCTTCATAATGATTTCTCATACACTGCACTTATTGGTCTTTTATCTTTTAGCCATCTCTGTGCAATGCTAATGACATTTTTCGAAAAGAAATGGGAAAAGGGAATTATAAATGTCATAATCAATGTGGTTTTTGACCTTTTTCAAATTGATCAGATGTCTTTGAAGTCTACGAAGATTGCATGATCAAGATATCAACATGTCTGTTTCAGAAATTTCAAAGACAGGGGAGAATCTCCTTACCAGGCAAAATAAGTTATTTGAAAAACAACTATATTGATTGAACATGAACAGATTAGAGTAGGTTTTATAATCAAAGTCCTTGGTGATGGCTTATTAGTGTTTGTTGGACTTCATGATGTTGCCATGGGAATGCAAATATATCCATCAACAATTTATTGTTGTTCAGTACAGTCACCCGAGGTCTGTTAACATATCATGATTAGATTCAGTTGATTGGATATTTTCTCAGTCAGTTCTATTAAGTTACCTCATGATAGATTTGATAATTTTATTGTTTAGCAGTCAAGCCCCTCTGCTGGTGGTCATTGTGCACCCCAAATCCTAAATCAAGTCAAACCCAATAAGCTGATTTATCCCCATCCAATCAATAATCAGAAAGATACACCTTTACATATATTGACTGTCTTATAATGTCAGATTGCAATGCCATTCTTTATAATTAACATTTAACAAGAAATACTTGTTCTGTTTTGCTGTTAACGATGATTCCAAACATATCCAAACCATCCTGATTTTTCGTGCTCTGTATAGTCAAACATTTTTACATCATTTCAATTATTAAAGTTTTATTCTTTATAGAAAAAGATGCTGACCAATAACCAGACTACAATAGTATCTTTTAGAAATTTCACAAATTTAAAAAAACACAAAATACATATTTAATGGTGCCTTAACCCAGTTACACAGTGATTGATTGATTTTGTTATTTTATTATTCATTTATTATTAAGTCTCATTACAAATACATTTACAACAATCACAATTTGTATCATCAATTATAAATGAATAAACCAAAAAGATTGTTTTGTTATTTGATCTGACAAAAGGCAGCAGATGTTAATGCTCAAACACACCAGTGGAAGCACAACAAACATTTTCTACACACACATATTGCCCAATGTGCCCTTAAAATGGTTTCACAAATCAAAAAATCACATTTTTTTATACATGTACATGTAGTTATTCTTGTCCTTGGAGAGTGTAAAATAAAATCTACACTGCTGTCATTAATTTGTCCAATGAAGAGGGGGAGAAACCCCAAGGTTCAAAGATAACATACACTTGTAATGTAAATCTGTATTGAGATGACATCGTCGCTGATTGATTTAGCGAGTCCATCATTGATTGGTTTAAAACTAGGTCAATTTGAAAACTTTGAAAACCAAGATGGAGGGTAAGTTTTCGACAAAAGGAGGAAATCGTATGTCATCAATTGAATCATGGGGTTTTCCCTCCTCTTTTGTCCAATGTATTCTTTATATATTGTAGAAGTAATGACACTGGTGAAGTTATTTAGAAAAGTGATTGATTTATGATCTTTTGATTTATTTCAGTTAATGCATTGTGTTGGATATTTTCAATAGCTCATTTCACACTTCATTTGCACTGAATAAATCTGCAATAGCAAATCAAAGATAGATACTGCATCAGCAGGCCTGTCAACTGTCCCGCAATTTGTGTATTTGTCACGCATTTGCTGAAGAATTTGAAGTCACGCCAGTTATTTTTGCGTGACAGAAAATGTCACCCAAATACGCATTTTACCTGGTAATTGTCAAGCAATACGAACGCCAAAAAAAAACGTACGCATTTCGTTCGGACTTTTCACGCGAATTACGTATATGCCACGCATTCTGTTCGAAATTTTTCGTACCTACATTTTGAGGGGAGGTGTTCAACATTTCCAAGTCACTCATGTTAGGTGTTCCCAAGTTGACAGGCCTGCATCAGTGTGTTAGAGATCTTAGAGGCATTGTCCCCAGGCATTGTCTCATAGGAACGCAATGAGAGTACCCCTTAATATTATTTTTGCATTGGGAGATTTCAAATATGCAGTGTCAAACATTACAGCTTCATAAATAAAACCAACTTACCCGCCCTAGAACTTTCCATTCTGATGATTTATTGCCAATGGTTACTCTCTTCTCTAGTATTGTCATGAGTGGAATTTGGCTTACTTGACCATTTTTGTCAACAGTATCCCACTTCCAACATATGACCCCTGGGTTTTGTTGTGTGCTGTACCTGCATGCAGGTCTAATGCTGACTGATACGATGCGTCTGTCTTTTGGTGCATCTGGAATAAAATAACAAATAAATTTACAAAATTTGCCATTGTCCTGGGTCCCTCTCAAAATAAAATAACAAAACAAGGCGTGTGTTTAGATGGTATAAGCTTGTCTGCTAGACCATGATGGGCTTTCAATAGAAGGTTTAAGTTAATAAGTGAAGTTCGTAAAACGCAGTGTTTCAGGCAGGCATGTGAAGTTTGAAACATGCAGTAGTGTTTCAGACTGGCATGTGAAGTTTGAAACATGCAGCAATGTTTCAGGCAGGCATGTGAAATTTGTAATATGCACCAGTGTTTCAGGCAGGCATGTGGGCTGTGCAGACAACAAGAAGGCACCCTTTTTGGGTGTTTTAACATGAAAATCCATGCCCCCCCCCATTGAAGGGCAGGAACGTGGGTAACCAAATGGAGGCAAAAATGGGATGAATAAGGCTGATGGTGCAACAAAAAAATAAAATAAAAAAACTTTTTGAAAAACAAGAAAATTATAGGAAAAAAGGAGAAGGTGGGTAGGTGAAAATCACCATACAGTGAAGAAAACTTGAAATGAACAGTTTTGTATAAAGTTAAGACGCTTGTATGTTTTGTGTTGACTGGCAGATCGAAATCATAAACTATACAATACATGTTGAAGAAAAATTGAAAAAATTGATAGCCAATACTCATAACATCAAAAATATGGCCAGGAGAGGGTTCGGTGGTGCGATCGCCCCCCCATTAACCAATGAAAATATGACCATGATGATAGAGGAAGAAAAGAACCTTAAAATGCTTTTTATTTGAAGCTTCTAGCTCAATTTTGAAGGAAGTTACATACATTTTTGTGAATTCAAAACAAATCTTACACGTTTTCTAATGATCCAATTATGTTATATATTCGTATTTTTCATTTTTTTTGAGTACCCGTTTTTTTCGACCGGGTACCAAGTTTGAACCCAGCATGGAGGATTTACTATCCGGTACCCGGATGTTTCTACAAACCCAAAATATAAAAACTAATGAGTTTGAAATAGACGATCCAAATACATTAAGTAAAAACAAAAATGAGTAAGTGTCAAAATAAAGGGCCCTCGGGCCTTGATTGTGATCATGAATGTCAGGTAAGTAATGTCTGATAAACTGCTATGAAAGTAGAAAACATGGAAGGTGCAGATGTTAAAACTGATTTGGGACCCGGAGTGTCTGAATATAAATTGCCTTTCTGATATTATTACATTTTTTGTTCATATTGATGCCTTAAGGCAGGATTATTTATTGGTTTACTTAGGCAGGATTTTAAAAGGGTTGTTATAAACTCACATGGTGAGCTATTGCAATCACTCACTTGTCCGTCTGTCTCTCTGTCTGTCAACAATTGGCCCATTTTAAAACCTCTGTCAATAGGATATCCGTTTTAAGTTATTTTTGTTCAACATCAATATAGGAAAAAAACTATGACTCCTGGTTCAAAAGCTCGCCTATTTTCAAAATGGCCACCATTTTTTCACTTTTGTCCTATTTCCTAGCTTTACAAATAATTTCAGGTGTCCTGCATTGTAAAAAGCCATGTCACTGTAAAAAGTAGTTGTATGATATAATTTTGTTTCAAAAAATTGGCAAAATATTGTATCCGTTTTTTATTTAATTAACATTGATATGTCTATCTGTCTTCCGAAATTCACTTTTGGATCATTTGCCTTAAAACCTCTGTCGATAGGATTTCCGTTTCAAGTTATTTTTGTTCAACATCAATACAGAAAACTCCCCTAAGACCCCTGATTCAAAAACTCTCTTATTTTCAAAATGGTCGCCATTTTTGCCTTGCGAAATTCACTTTTGGCCCACAGAGCTGTCAAGTGTCCCGCGAATGGCGGGATTATCCCGCGAATTTGATCAAAATTAGGCTAATTCGCGTGTCCCGCATTGTCCCGCGAAGTCCCGCAAATGTGGCTTTGACCTCCGCGAATTTTCGAAATTGTTGTAGTCCCCTATATTTTGATTATCTTATCTTATATAAGAAGCTAAGTTTTTGCACTTTTGAGGAGTAAAGTTTACCTAATTTTAAGTACCTAGCATGCTGTTGTTTGGTATCAAAATAAAGGGGAAGGGTTCAACTTTCATTTTAATTACGAAAATAGGGATGTAGGTCACAAATAGTTCCAACGTTGGCCTTTTTACTACCCGTGTGGCCTTCATCTCAGAACTGAGCAAATGTTAGCAAACGCGAGTTACAATAAATGTACGCTGATATCTAGAAAGGGTTTGTATAAAAAACCGGGTACCGGGTAGTAAATCCTCCATGCTGGGTTCAAACTTGGTACCCGGTACCCGGTCAAAAAAAACGGGTACCCAAAAAACGAAAAATACGAATATATAACATAATTAGATTATGAGAAAACGTGTAAGATTTGTTTTGAATTTGCAAAAATGTATGTAACATGATTCAAAATTGAGCTAGAAGCTTCAAATAAAAAGCATATTTTAAGGCACTTTTCTTCCTCTATCGTTATGGCCATATTTTCATTGGTTATGGGGGGGGGGGTGCGATCGCACCATCGCACCCTCTCCTGGCTACGCCTATGACATTGTAAGACATAACAATTTACAATTCAGTGGACATTTTGTCATAAATTGGGATAACTTAAATTATGATTAATAATCAAAATCTTACACGTTGCATCATGCAAATTAACACACGTCACCTCTCTGCTAAAGCAACGATAGCTATTTACAGATTTAAATCATAATCAAAACAATTCACGTACCAACATACGAACTATTGAAAATAGAGTAAGATTGATTTGTCTTGTTTTTCAAATCGTCTTACAATGTCATTGGCGTAGCCAGGAGGGGGTGCGATCGCACCCCCCCCCCTTCATTACCAATGGAAATATGACCAAGATGATAGAGGAAGAAAAGAGCCTTTAAATGCTTTTTATTTGAAGCTTCTAGCTCAATTTTGAAGGAAGTTGCATACATTTTTGTAAATTCAAAACAAATCTTACACGTTTTCTAATGATCTAATTATGTTGTGTATTCGTATATTTCGTTTTTTGGTTTTTTTCGACCGGGTACCAAGTTTGAACCCAGCATGGAGGATTTACTACCCGGTACCCGGTTTTTTATACAAACCCTATCTAGAAAATTAACCTCATTCCCTATAATTTGATGTAGATTAATCGAACCCCTATATCATGGGCTTTCAATTGAAAGCCCATGCCTACAGTATATGAATAGGTACATTTTAATATATAACATTATGGGTAAGCGTTTCATAGTTGGTCACGACGCCAGAAGTGCAAAGTATTGTTCCGAATTTTTGAATTTCGTGTTAGATTACGGTAATCACACCTGAAGCATGGTTTTTGTTTTTGATAAATTACAATAAAGTTTAATAATATTCCTATGCGTATTTTGTGAAATTGTGTTGACGTTTATTTAAGTTACAATGTAACGGTGCATTATATTTGATTAATCAGTATCTGAAAGTTTGATTTAAAGAGAGAATCAGATATAGCGAGCAGGCTAAACAAAAAATTGTTTCAATTTTAGAATATTTTTGGCTCATGTCATTTCTTGTCATGTCTATTTTCTAAAAATCATAGAAGTGCACACTTTAGTCCAGGAAAACTAAAGCTTTTAACAATAATGCATTATTTTTCTATAAGAATGGTAACCATTCTTATTATTTGGGAGAATTTAAACATCTTTCACTCATTTTTGCACTTTGAATCATGAATAACTTCACCAATTTATAACATATTGCGAATCTTTTGGGAGATATTGTATTTGATATTGTAAGGAATAGATTGGAAGGTCAATTATACATGTTGCTTGTAATTCTGTCTCCCCCTATAGATCAGATTCTGCCTTTAAGTACTTCTACACGCTTTAACATTACGCAAATCCCTTGAATGTCCCGGGACATCCTGCAAATTTAGGTGGATGTCCCGCGAAATCCCGCAAATTTAGGGCACTTTGTCTAAAAAATCTGTCCCTCTATGAAGTTTTTGGTGGTACACCTGTTAACTGTCCCGCAATTAGGGTGTTTGTCCCTCGAATGGTCCCGCGAAATCCCGCGAATTTGATAAAAAAATCTCCTATTAGCGCAATCACGCAAATCTCTTAAATGTCCCGCAAAATCCCGCGAATTTAGTAGATGTCCCGCAAAATCCCGCGAATTTTGGGCACTGGGTCTAAAAAATCTGTCCCGCGAGAAAATCTTTAGGGGTTGACAGTACTGGGCCCATGTCTAGCTTTACAAATAATTTTAGGTGTCCTGCATTGTAAAAAGCCATGTAAAGAGTAGTTGTACAAAAAAATTATATCGGTTTTTTATTTTCAGCCATTTTAGTTAACATTGATTTGTTCATCTGTCTTACAAAATCCAAACTCCCCTATAACTCTTGGTTCAAAAGCTCGCCTCTTTTCAACATGGTCGCCATTTTTGTCTCGGGAAATTCACTTTTGGACCATTTGCTAGCTTTACAAATAATTTCAGGTGTCCTACATTGTAAAAAGTCATGTCACTGTAAAGACCAGTTGTATGAAATAATTTTGTTACAAAAAATAGGCAAAAAATTATATCCATTTTTTATTTTCTGCCATTTTAGCCATCATTCATTTTTGAGCAACACCATGTGAGCCCAGTACCCAAGGTACTATTTATAAAAACCAGGCATTTAAAAAGGAAATAAAAAACAACTAACATCTGACATTTTGGTCTTCCTTTCTTTTTTTCATTTGTTCTGCAAGATATATTTTAATGCCTTTTGATAAATGGAATGTCTGAGATAAATGTTTTGGTTGCTGTGGATTTGTTCCCTCTTGATTAGTAAATCTTCCTGCTTTTAGTTCTTCCACTTAAAGCTGATTGTGATAGGTTTGTGAACAATATTTCTTATCCCCATTGACTTCTGCCAACAATTGTATCATGAAACATTTTATGGTATCTATGGAATGAATTGAAAACCCTTGGATCAAGGATCCTATAGATAGAATAAACTTGATTTTATGTGTGATAGATATATAGAATTGTTACATTTGGTTGGATCAAGAATGCTATAAACTTGATTTAATAACAATGCTACATTTTTCTACATTTAAGTAGTGCAACATTTTATGGTATCTATGGAATGAATTGTAAACCCTTGGATCAAGGATTCTATAGATAGAATAAACTTGATTTTATCGTGTGATAGAATAGCAATAGCTCTACGCGCGATTTCAAGAAGTCTTGGCTAAAATGTTTTAGAAAAAGTATGTTGAAGCTTTGAGGAAAATCAAGACGTCTTACGAAATATGATTGAGTTTACACCTGTTTTTCTAAAACGTCTTAGAGATATGTAGGTATATATGTAAAATGAAAAAAGCAGTCCTGTACTGGTTGAAGGACGGTTCAATCAATATAGCTATTCCTTTCCAGCTTCTATACTTTGTACTAAAGAATGCATTGGTTTCACAAAAAAATTTCTTAAACGTTTTAGCCAAGACGTTTTGGAGTGTCACATGTAGTGTTAGGCAGGCCTGTCAACTGTCCCGCAATTTGCGTATTTGCCACGCATTTGCTGAAGAATTTGAAGTCACGCCAGTTATTTTTGCGTGACAGAAAATGTCACACAAATACGCATTTTACCTGGTAATTGTCAAGCAAAAATATTTCTGAAGAAAAATTTCTAAAAAAGATCGTCTACACAGCAAAAATACGAACGCCGGTAAAAAATGTACGCATTTTGTTCGGACTTTTCACGCGAATTATGTATATGTCACGCATTCTGTTCGAAATTTTTCGTACCTCCCCCCCCCCTTTGATGGATGTTTGAAACGCGAGCGCAGGTGTTCAAAATTTAGCAAGATGTAATAAAATTTAAACCAAGGTGTTCAAAATTTGGATCAAGGTGTTCAGATTTGGACCAATATGTCCACATTTTGAGGGGAGGTGTTCAACATTTCCAAGTCACTCATGTTAGGTGTTCCCAAGTTGACAGGCCTGTGTTAGGGCTAAAGTCACTTTATTTGCTTCCCTCCGATCTAAGTCTAATTTATTGAATTCGAGTGAGTTCTGAAGGTCAACAAACTAATAACTCATTTACAGTGTTTATAGAGAGTTACACTGATCCTTGGTTTTCTAGATAATTACATAATCTAATTTCCCTCATGTTCAATGACTTCCTACATGGATAAGCCATCAACTACATTAAGAAACATAGATAGCGTGCCATTATTTTAGCTGTTACTATAATCATTAGACATGATTTGAAATCCCCCAGGGAGTAGTCTAGTCTAGCTGCAAGCCTCTGTGCCCCACCCCCTCTACTTGACTACGCACTGTCACGCTTGTTGTAGTTGTTTGGGTTAAAGGGTTTGTAGGTAGACTAGGAGTAG